ACGAGTTGTTGAGCGGTTTGTGATTCATTTGAAGTTCAAAAGAGCGGCATTGCAGATAGCATTGGAAAAACTTGACGACCGCGTAGGTCGCAAGCAGTTCCCTGTCATATGTTCTCTATCATCTCTCGGTGTTCGTGAGCTTCGTGCAAAAAAAATCTACTGGATGTTTTATTCTATCGAAGATTTGTTCCAAGAAGGCATCGAGAGCTGTATCTGAGGTATCCATGAATACGATGAGCTGCCACTTCGAAGCCAGGAGCCAATTGATTGTACCCTTGTGCAGTCCTTCCTTGCATGCGAGGAAAGCAGTCTCGTACTGCTCAGATCACACCGACACTTTGGCCTTCTTGCGTTTTGGTGAGTCACGAAGAAGGTCATTTAGCGGCATCTGGATGTGCACTGCCTTTGGGATGCAGCGGCGGTAATAATCCACCATCTCCAGTAAGCTGTGAAACTCTTACTAGTTTATTGACCTTTGCATCGACCTTCCGTGGTGGCGGACTGTATCCGTGCTGCGATACTAGGTATCCTAAGATGTCGACTTTCATTTGGTCGATCTGGCACTTCTTAAGATTGACGGTTAAGCCTGTGTCACGTAGTCTGCAAGATAATGCACAGGTGCTGTTTTTGGTCTTTGGAATAGATGATCGAGACGTTGTCGAGATACTAGCGAACAATAAGCATGTTCCAGAAAAGTGAGTCGGAAAACGCTACTGCAGAGTCTACAAGACGTTTCGGAGACTTATTAACATCGTAAAAAATTCGACGAGGCTAAAAGAAGTCGTAACGGCTATCTTGACGATGTCCTCCTTGATTATCGGGATTTGATAGGAGGCTTTTTCCAGATCAATCACCGAAAAGACGATGCCGTCTTAGCGGTCGTGAAGCAAGTCCTTGATGATACGTAGTGGGTACCGGTCTGCCTTGGTGACAGTGTTGAGGGCTTGGTAATTGCCAGTGACACGGTTCATGCCAGAGTTCTTTACTACCAGATTTCAAGAACTAGCCTTCTGGCTTTAAGATGGTCTGACAATATCCCTATCGGCTAACTCCTTGATAGCGCTCTTGGCACCCCTAAGCCGGTCCCCATGCACCAGTCGAGAGCGGTCGAAAACCGGTAACGCCTTGGTGACAATGCGACGTTGAATGGTTGCACCATCGATATTGATACGGCCGGAGTTTGGCTGTATGTACCTTCTTGAACGTAGAATTCCGCTATATTAGTGATCACCCTTCTTCGCAGGTAAAATATAATGCGGAGCAGAGGCCGGCACGCCGATGCAAAGAGGACCAAGAAATTGGGCAGGCCCAGAGCTCGAGGGCGTGAGTTATTTCTACCGCAAGGGAAAACGTGGGACAATCCCAGCCAATGGAGAAGGGAAGAGCCTCAGCAGTACCATCCTCGGGGAGCGCGTTGATTGGTAAGGCCTCGGTGGCTAGAGAAGCTCCAGATCTCGCCCTTGAGATCAACGCCAACAGGATAGTTTGGAAGATGTAGCCCGATGGCCGTCGGCGTCGAAAAATCTGCGTTGAATTAAGGCGCATTCCAGGACGAAAGAAGGCCGCCTTCATCTCCGACGAGGATGTTAAGAACATCTCGCCCGCTATAGTCCAGAATCTGCCATTCTGTACCCGATGCCGCTGACCGACACTGCAGAGGTTTCACCATTGATGACGTCGGTGTATATAACATTTGCAAAGTCACCGTGTCCACCAGCGAAATTATCATCGCCTCCTGGGAAGTGGCTCTGTACCTTGTCGGACTGTTCCAAGGGGACCGGCTGAGACTCATTGTGGGGCGAGCGAATAGCTGCAACCTCCAACCCTCTAAGAAGACTAGAAGTATGAAGAAGCGATGAGGTAAGTTTTATTTAGTTTTAATTTTTTAATTTTCGTTTTATTTTTAGGTTTTGGGTTTTGTTTTAATTTGTAATAGAGTCGGCCTATAACGCCGATAAATCTATCGCTATTACTAATTATTTATAAAGGGGGAAGGCAAGGGAGGCGGTGTATTGCTCCTGACAAGGTAAAGAGAAAGGTAAACGCAATGATCTTTCCTCTTATCTTGGTAAATCTATTTATTACAATACGCTACCTTAAGCGTTAATAGTTCGGTCAATCTACCGCGCGCCTTATCTAACTATTAACAATCTACGATCGTTGAAGGAGATGGCCGGCACGTTAGCGCCTTGCCATCTCGCTACCGACTCGATATAATCTAAATTATGTTAATAACCAAACTAGCCGTGCCGGCCCGTGAAAGCCTGGCACAGTGCACAAGCCGCGAGTAGCCGTAAAGTGAGAATTCAAGAGAGAGAGATTAGAGAATGACCTGACGAATGTAGATCTCCTTTGATGCAGTGCCTCGCCGATGATGGTGATAACGTCCTGCAGGCAAATCTGTGGTTGGAAGGGCTCGCTGAAATGATAGGCTGGATCCGGGCAGATTGCTAATGCCGTCTCGGTTTCCTCGCCTTTTCTTGCTGACTGCAGGGGGTCCGTGCACCTCTCTCTGCTATGGGCAACTTTTTACTGCCCGCGAGTATGCTTCCGAGTGCGTGAGAGACTGCTTCTCACGCTCTCCCCACTCACTTGCCTAATCGGCGGCACGCGGCACCGTCAAGCGCGGCCAGTGTCACGCGCCTGCCTGCACTAGTCGCGTTCTTTTCTTTCTCTCTTTTCTCTCACTCTCTCTCTCTCTCTCTCTCTCTTTCTCTCTTACAAGAGCGCATGTTACTACGCGCTCTTGTCGACCAATGCCGCTGCCTCTCTCTATCTCTCCTCTTCTTTCTTGTTGCGGTAGCGATGCTGAAAACATAAAGGCTGGCATCAGGCACGTGAACTATGCGCCATAGGTCTGCCATGAGTCCCTGCCGATGGTAGGGAGAGATAAGAGACACACGGTGCAGGTCAAATCCACCGGCACCGTTACAAATTTTCATTTGAGTTTTACAGTTTTTTTATTTTCAGTTTGATGTGTCTTTTTGTTTTGCGTTTCATTTTTCGTTTCGGGTTTCATTTTATATGATTTTTCCTTTCATCTGCTAGCTTGCCCACTCGCGGGCGGTGGGATGCCATTTGCACCCCTGCTGTTAACTGGCAGCTACAGTCAAGTAAAATATCCTAGTCTAGTTAAGGCAGCCAGACGGTGGAAGTGGAAGACAGCCCCCGCACTACTATTGAAAGGATCCGTTGCTTCGGAGGGGCTATGACGGAGAATCCCGGCATGGTCAGTGTTTCCGCTGCCGGACTCTCGCTAATGTCCGTGCCCCGCGTCAAGCTGCGAATATGTATGTGTCTGCAGCACACATTCATGCTTGTTGCTGCTTTATTGAGGTGTGGCGCGAGAACGATCGGCAGAGAAGAGAACAGGCTGCGAGGGGAAGAAGAGCGAGAGAGAAGAGTGAAAAAGAGAGACACAAGACAGAAAAAATATAGAGAGATTGAAGACAGAAAAATAAAGAGCGAGAGAGATAGAAGAGAGAAGAATAAAGTTCGGGAGTTACTCAGGTACTTTCGTACCAACATTTTTCTCGAGGTTTCCCGCGACCTCGTCAACGAATTTTTATGGATACGCGCTCGGTGCGTGGAAATGTGTACGGTACGGTCAGGTAGGCTGGATCATGCTCAGCCATTTTCGTTAGATTTACCAAGCACTAGTGCGCATGAAAATTCCAGCGAGGTAACGGCGTGCGCCTGTCAGCGGCCATTGCCGCAAGTAGTATGGCAATAGCGATTGGCAGCAGCAATAAGTAACGAGGCGGCGAGAACAAGCAATGATTACAACAACAGTGACGACAAACAACAACACCAACAACAGCAATAACTATTAGGGCAACAATAGTGGTAGCAATAGAAGAGACAGCGACGACAACATCGATGATAAAATGACGACAGCATCGACAACAATGACGGAGCAAGAGAGCAGCAGACTAGGTCAGTGCCGTGACTTCTCTCTTTCTCTCTCTCACTCTCTCTCTCTCTCTCCCTCTCTCACAAATTTTAGAAGCAAGCTTATTGCGGCTAGCGTGTCAGACCTATCAGCTATTCCGTCGGTTGTGATTACCGACTTGTACGGCGTTTTACTGTTGTTAGTAATGGTAGAATAGGGGTAAAGGGTAGCAGCCCTACCACTGTTTCACCTTCGCGAACGCGGAATTGTTGTCCAGTTAGAGTAAACAGCATTTGGCTTGTTAGATATATATAACAATTATATATATAGCAAAGGTAACGATATATATATATATAGTTACCTTTGTTTCTTTTGTTCTGTTATTCTGTTATAATAATGCTGTTATATTAAATCCCTTTCATATTCCTTTGCCGCCAGTGTCACTTCTCATCCTGAACCCCATTCCCGATTGATGCATTATAGCTCAGCAGTCATTTAGTCGTGAGAGCATTGGCGCCTTTCGAATCCCCCTCAAAAATTATTTGTACAGGTGGCCACGAGTTAATCTTAGGGGAAATGACCGTATCTACGGTTACAATGTAAGTAGTAGTAACGGATAAGTAATTATTCAAAATTATGTTGCGATTCGTGGGAGGTTTTCCAAAAATTTTTGTTGTCAGAAAAATTATAATATACATTATAAACCATTCTTACGAATAAATTATTAAAAAGATTAAAATTATACATAAGATTACAATACAAAAATATTGATTCAAACTCAAAACTCTTCAATCAGAGCTTACAATTTTGCTTGAAAAATTTAGAGTATGAATTTGATGAAGATTTCTCATAAGACAAATCAGAGCAAGCCGGTAAAAGAATTGGTAATTAGAAGGCAGTAGTTCAATGCGATTATTTTGAAATATGACTTTAAAAGAGGACTTGATGTTGAATGAAATTGACACACTATATACAGATGCTGAATATGTAAATTTAATCAATATAAATATATATGCACCAAAAGAATTTTATATATTGAAAAATTTAGAAAATCAAGAAGGTTGGTTTTACAAATATCATTTGTAAAATCTACCAAATAATTACTCACACACTAAATAGTTTTTAGATAAACTTATACAGTAGTTTTTGTACATATCTAGATAACTTTGTTAAAATGCAAGCGAGTGATTATCAACCTGAAACCAAAAAAATAATAAAAAGATTATTATTCAGCTATTCCATTGAAGATTAAAATAAAATATGTAAATTTAGGTAAAGAAAATCCTGATTGGCCGCTTACCACTCTACAAAATAGAGGATCTCAGTTTTTAATAAGATTAAATATAATAAAGAGATGGGAAAAGATGTTTAAAAAGAAGGCACTTGATTCAACAAGCAGAAAATCATACATAAATGAACATACGATAGATTTGTAGATGCCAGAGAAAAGAAACTTTCTATGAATACTTGAAACTTATAGAAATAAGCATTGCAAGGTTCTATGCAATTCAACCAAGTATACTGGCAATTTAATTCTTCCTTATTGTGGGTAAATCGATTTAAAAATATTACCGAGTAAAGTAAGAGTATAATCCATTTTTCCTTTTTTCGAATAGCTAGAATAGACAAAAAAATATAAATTTATATGAAAAAGTTATTAACGCATACATTAATCAGAGTTATACAGTCAAAGTTATTTGTCCTGACTGCACAGCTTACGCTCATCCTTTGGATGTTTCAGGCGGTTTATCAATATATATATATTTTTTGAAGTTTATTAAATCAGCATTTTCGTATATAAGCAAACACTTTATTGATAGAAACTTACAATTCAACATACCTTGAAAAAATTAACATCAAGATATGTTGTAAAATACAGTAAAAATACAATCACTTTTATTAATTCCGAAATTAAACAGTTTCGGAACAAATTTTGCTGCAACACGTTTCATACCCAAAGCTTTGGAAAAAATTGCATGGTACGAGCTAATAGAGATGCCGCCGTCTTCAGCCACTTCTCTAATAGTGATTCGTAAACATTTTTTTGACTCAAAGTAGACTCACAGTGTGCCACTGTGAATATTTTAAGTATTTTGGAGCACTTAATTCTATTTTTTACAGAAAATTTTATGGAAACTCTTTGATCCATTGTTTTTGACAGCAGAAAATCGCCGAGCATAAAAAACACATCTAACGTTTCTGTATCGCAGAAAAAGGTAAACATACAATCTGGCTGAAACTCTGAGCATATGTGAAGGACATGTATATCAACGTAATAAAAATAAATCTAGATGATCGAATCTACGTAGCCCGCCCAATTTAAAATTTCACCTTACTTTTTGAACACACCTCGTATGCCTGGTATACATCAGGAATGTTCGATGATCGTGATGTTTTTATGAATGTTAGACAAGTATATTTTGCAATTGAGCAAGACAATGGTAAATATATAAATGCATGATTTCAATTTACATTAAATGCTCATGGTACAGAAAATTATTTTGTTTTGATTGTTATTACATTAAATATCATCCTAACAATTATGAAAAACTTTTGGAACTTAGGTACAACCACAATATGTAAATAAATTTTGTAATTTCTTCTATATACTTATTTCTGTATTTATTAAATACCACCTAATTAAAAAAAATTGTCAAAAGATTGTTTAATTGTAATATCTATGAATGAAAAAAATTTTCAATCTTTAGTTATTTGATTATCACGTCTGAAATTTTATTGGTCGTATATATATATATAATTGCTAATATTAAAATTATTAATATATCAATAACGTTTATACAAAGAATTTAAAACTAATACTATCAAAACTCTCTCATTATAGATCATTTTTAGTTTTTCAAAATAAAAAAAACTGAATATTAAAAAAATTGATGTACTTGATATTATGATAAGAAAAAAATATTTTCATATGATTAGGAAACTTTTTTTTTTAATATTTTGCTATGAAATAGAGCTTTTTCTTTCAAGCAAGCTTATTTTTATGATTTAAATGTCTCAAAATTAAGAGCTACTATTATAGACGTTGTTTCTGAAGAAAGTACGTAGCCATATTATCACTGAATTTAAATTAAAATTATTTTTAAATTACTGCTTTGTATAGTATAAGAAAAGGACTAGAAAATAATTTGTTTTAATTATTTCAACTTTTTTTTTTGAAATGGTGAGCGGTTAAAGTTACACTAAAAATTTTATAATTTCTGTTTTAATTTTTGTATAATTTTAACATATACTAGTTAAAAGAGCTTGAAAAACTTTTTGAAACGAACTTTGTAGAGCTCAATAGGATCAATTACAGCCAAGATATGGGGCTTAAAAGTTATAGTCATTCTGTTCTTCGATGGGCAAATATTATTAAGCATTCTAGAGGATATACTAGATGATTATGTAATTTATATAATACAATTGAAATTCAATAATGCATTTTTAAGGAAATTTATTAATAATAGTAGATAAGCAATGTATGTTCTGGGACACAAAGGAGCCGACAAAGGATGCCGCCAATGTATAAGGGATATGTGTATGTTCTGGAACACAAAGGTGCCGCCCGATGAAGGTGTCACGGTAGTAACACCTTTTAATTTATGGTCAGACCCCATGCTGAGTGTCTAAAAGGCATTTGATGTACCTTTGACACCTCCCGCGTGCCAGTGGGCCCCATGCTGAGTGTTTAAAGGGAATTTGATGTTCGTTTGACACCTCCCGCATGCCGCCAATGTATAAGGGATATGTGTATGTTCTGGGACACAAGCCAATGTATAAGAGATATGTGTATGTTCTGGGACACAAAGAGGCCGCCCGATGAAGGTGTCGCGGTAGTGATGCTTTTTAATTTAAGGTGAGACCCCATGCTGAGTGTTTAAAGGGCATTTGATGTTCGTTTGACACCTACCGCGTGCCAGTGGGCTTCTTCGACAGAGTTCTCCCCCCACCCCTCCCTCACCCACCCACGCACCTACAGAGGTTGTTAAGGTAGGATGCTATATGATGGTCTCTATCTCTCTCTTCTTCGATATTAGAGCGCTTATGCTGGCTGAGCGTGGACCCTCGAAGAGGGGGTAGCGTCTCTAGCTTGCTAGGCGCGTACACCGTATAGTGTGGATGCTGTTTCCTCTCTCTCTCTCTATCCCTCTCTCTCGCTCTCCTTCGATAGTAGGGCGCTTATGCTGACTAAGCGTGGACCCTCGGAGAGGGGGTAGTATCTCTAGCTTGCTAGGCGCGTACACCGTATAGTGGGGATGCTGTTTTCTCATTATATCTCTCTCGCTCGCTCTTCTTCGATAGTAAGGCGCTTAGTAAGCTTATGCTGGCTGAGTGTGGGCCCTCGGAGAGGGGGTAGCGTCTCTAGCTTGCTAGACGCATACGTCGTATAGTATGGATGCTGTTCTCTCTCTCTCTCGCTCTTCTTCGAAAGTAGGGCGCTTAGTAAGCTAATGCTAGGTGAGTTTAGACCCTCGGAGAGGTGGTAGCATCTCTAGCTTGCTAGGCGCAGCCACCACCCACCCACCCACCTCCCACCTTTCGTCTGACTACCCCCTCTTCAACCTACAGCGCCGAAATCGCTGCTTTCAGCGCCACCATAGTGCTTAAAAGCCGTGCTCGATTGGAAAAGAGCGCAGTCTTTCGAGACAGCCCGCCCGCTTCACTAGCTTTCTTAGCAGTGACAATCAGTAGTAGTAGTAGTAGTAGTACTAGTAGTAGTAGTAGTAGTACTAGTAGTAGTAGTAGTAGTACTAATAGTAGTAGTAGTAGTATTACTAGTTATCCTCCGCGCATTTTTATTACAATGGCTTCTATTTCTTATTTCGAAAATACAGTACGCGATTTATGGAAAGCCTATTACAACTCAGACGCTAATAAGGATGATTTTATTAGATGGAAAAATATAATAATTACCGCTTTGAATTCTCTTCAAGAATATATGTTACGGCCTAACTTAAGTAGAGCAATACGATAGAGATGTCAAACATGCGCTACTCATTTGAATTCAATCGAAATTAATTTAAATAATTCCATAAAAGTCGGAGAAAATGTTAATTCATTACGAGTTATTCCAAACCAAATTGAAGGGGACGGAGTTATTTGGCGTGAAATAAATTTAGCATTTGAAAAACGTATCATTACTGCATTCATAGCCAATCAAGAACATACAGATATAAAGTTATTCTTAAAAACAGTAAATAAACTATTACAATTATAAATACCAAAATATCTTTCAATTCATAATGCTCTAAAAATAAATATAGAAATGTCAGCTTAATTTACCGTAATAAAAGATAATGTAGAGGACATTCAAGTAAAATATTTCAACACCGAAAATGTTTCTATTTATAGAACGACAGATCTTAAATTATGATTTACAGAAAATATTGAAGATGTTATACTTAAAAATTTAGAAGAATTTCAAGAAAAAGATTCCGGTTGGACATTGAAAACTATCATCGGTATTACTGTTAATATAAATAAATTTAATCCTTTCAAACCTGGCTCATATATTCAACTATCAAAACAAATAGCAGATAAAAAAGCAATTATCAACTTTCAAAATACAGATAATGAATGTTTTAAATGGGCTGTGCTTGCCTGTCTTCATCCAGCTAGATTTCATAGCGAAAGAGTTCAAAATTATATGCCCTTTGCGAATGAATTGAAATCCGATGATATAAACTTTCCTGTTGAGGTAAAGAATATTCCTAAATTTGAAAAATTAAATAGTATTTCAATAAATCTATACATACTAAAAAAATACGGTTTTAAATTCGAAGTCTCACCATATTATATATCAACTTTAAAATAAGATAAGCATGTAAATCTTTCGTTACTACAAAGCGATTATATTGATGAGAATGAAACAGAAAAATCTAATAGATCAAATAACTATGCTAATTTTAAATTAAAATTACACTATGTATGGATTAAAAACTTATCTACTCTTGTTAGAAGTCAAGTAACGAAACATACTGTACAAATTTATCTATGTGAACGCTGTCTTCACTATTTTAATAATAAAGAAAAATTGAATTTTCATGAGACAGATTGTTCAAAATTAAATAAATATAGAGTTAATCTACCTAATTTTCCTCTTCTGAAATTTAATCATTATGATCGAAAAGAAGTGGTTCCGTTTATTATCTATGCTGATTTAGAGTGCTTATTGAAACCAGTAAATAATGGACGA